ATATCTCTGTTGGCTCTGCTCTGAGGACTTGCCTCTAAAATGGATTCCAGTTGCCTGATTGTGTTTGAGGTAATCCCTGGGCTCTTTCTTTCTGTCATCCTAACTTTTCCTACCAAATTTCACCTCAGAGAATTTGGGGTTTTTTACATCTGTAATATAGTCAAACTTTTACTCACCTCCTGTACATTCTTGGGGGTTTTGTCTCTGACTAAGTACCTCAATTCTCCTGGCAGAACCGAATAAAATTGGTCTAACCCTAAAATATTTTTCATATCTTCTAATGTCTCAACATTAGCCTGCTCTAGCCATTTCTCCAAGTATCTGACTAGATTTGCCCCCAATTGAGAATATGATTTCCCAGGCTTTTTAATCAGTGCTTGAAATTTTCACTTCAGATGTTCAGCATTGATCCCAAACCTCAAGAAAACCAATTTCCTGTAAACCTCATAGTCTCGGGCTTGATCTAAGGGCATTTGGGAATAAATTTCAGCTGTCTCCCCTTATTTGAGACCTTAGCAAGACCATTCTTTCTTCTCTTCTCACATTATAATCCCAGCACGCTCGTTGAAACAAAATAAAAAATGATTCTGGGCAATCACCCTTTCTAAATTGAGAGAATTTCTTAATGTCCACTTTTGAGATCCCGTCAGATGTATTATTACTGTTGTTACAGTTTAGAGATGCCAATTCTAATTTTTTCATTTCTAATTGGTACTCCATTTGTCTCTTTTCTTGTTCCATGTCCAATTCTCTTTCTTTTAATTCTAATTGTCTCGCTTCTGCTTCAGCTTCAGCCCCAGTTCTTATTTCTAACTCCTTTAATTTAAATTCCTGTTGCAACCTCCATCTTTCAAACTCTTGGGAGGTTAACCCAGTTTCTCTTCTTGAGGCATCATCCTCATGAGTCTCATCTTGCTCAGTTATTTCAAGAGGGCTCCCCTCTTCGTGAGGTAAATCTAGAGGATCTGATACCTCCATTGCCACCTTCTTCCCTCTTTTAGAAGGCATGTTTATTTGTTATTTGGATAAGTTTCTGTCTTCTACTGATATAAATAGTCAAGACTCAATGTAAAATGCTTTTTTCCCTTTCTGAGTTAGCAAGAGAGTTACTCTGTAGCTCTCTGCTGGCAGCCACGGATTGTTACTATATTTCTTCTGGCACTCAGCCAGTCCCTTGGTCTGAGACACTGTTTATCTCTTTGTATCCGGACACCAAAATTGTTCAGAAATATCTACTTTATTCAAGCCTCTGTTGTTTCAGTCACCTTAGCTATGTTTCTGACCCTGGCTTCCATTTGTTCCTTCAGCGCTCCCTTCTCAGAGCTTGGGATCTCAAGCTAGCCTACTGGTCTTTTCACTTAAAGCATGAGGTAACCTTAAACCACTGAATTTCCCTCAGAGCCTTTCCTGTCCTTAGTCTTTTCCAAGGTCTGCAATCAGGAGTCCCTTCTAAGCTTTTCACTAAGTGCTCTCGAGGGTTTCCCACTCCTTCACTACAGTCCCAGACTACTAGGTCCCCTAGGCTCAGAAAATTCACTTTTTACTTTAGCTTACTGGACTTTTAATGACATCCCGCCACTTTTTACTTTGGCTTACTGGACTTTTAATGACATCCCGCCGCTGGCCACCACTTTGTCATGTTCCCCCAGTTCTCCCCAAACACTGGTCCACCCTCTGAATGTGTTTCCTCTTTTTACGCTGCCACAGTGGATCTAGTCCACACTATACCACATATACAGTGGTACCTCAACTTACGAATGTCCCTAGTTATGAACATTTCAACTTACGAACCGCTTTGGTCGCAACTTTTTGCTTCGACTTGCGAATTGAACTTCCACTTACGAACAGAAACAGGCAGGGATAAAAGGCAGACAATTCAAATTTCTAACTGTAGGTGGCACCGAGGCTGTTTCTTCGTGCTGTAGCTCTTTCAGCAATTATAGGATGTGTCACAGTTGGAGGCTTGGGAGAGCCTCCTGCTTCGGAGTGAGCCTGTGTGTGTGTCTGCAGGGAGGGTTTGTTTCTGTGCTCTGCACGTGTCTCTGTATTTTTGGAGGGTTTTTTTTTCCCTTCTTAAACCTCTGTGTGTGTCTGTGTGTGTCTGTGTGTGTGTCTCTGTATTTTTGGAGGTTTTTTTTCTTCTTAGACCTCAGCAACAGAGGTGGCTCTAGTGTCTTTTTTGGAGGTTTTTTCTTACAGTCTCAGCAACAGAGCACCTTCCAACTGGGCTTGCTGTGCTCTTTTTTGTTATTTTTTTCCCTCTGGGTAGCAGGGGGGAAGCCATGGCTGCTGACCGGAGTGAGGGAAGCTCCAGAGGAGCAGGAGGACGTGGGCATGCAGGCAGGCGAGTGCTTCCCGGCCAGGTCTGTAGCCCTGTCCCCATTCACTTCGGCCAGCCTTTGAGGCTCACTTTCTGTTCTGGGTTTGTTTTGTTTTTTGCAGCCCCGGTGCGTTCCTATGGGGCTTGCAGTGTTTTTTTATTTTTTATATTGGGGGTATTTTTTCTTCAGCCAGTTTTCAGTGCATTCCTATGGGAAATGGTGCTTCAACTTACGAAAGTTTCAAGTTGCGGACACTGTTCCAATAGGGATTAAATTCGTAAGTCGAGGTACCACTGTATGTATCTCAGACACGTGCAGCCAATACAACAGTTTTATTGATCTTTTAGTTGGTATGTAAATCACAGATGTAAATCACAGTTGTTGAGGATCATTCCTTAAATTGGATTTGATTACATGTTTGTTTGTATGTGCTTTTATTCACAATAACAATGTTCATATTCTTTAACCATCTATCTATTCTCCATTCCTTCTAACTTTTTCCTGTTCTCTAAAACACTCCAATTTTCCAATCTCAGTCTTAACTCTCTCAATTCAATGTCCTAACTCTCTCACTTCCATTCCCTATCTCTTCTTCTTTCTAACTGTCTGCCACTTTAACTCCACCCCTCCTGTCCTATCATAGGCTCCTGCCCTTGAGCTCCATATGATGGACAGGAGTGACATGGGCATTCCGTCGCACTGCTATTTCAATTAAATTATCCTGAAAGAAGGAAAACATGTCTGTTATCTCTGTTATTGTTGTTTGTTTTTATTGTCTGTTAATTTCCCAGAATAGTGCCTTCCATTAATGGGGTGGTATATACATGAAATAAATAAATAATAATAATAGAAATTGTACTAAGGGCCGAGGACTGTGTGTTTACTGTTAGTAAAAAATGACAATAATCAATTATAGCTAAAGAATGCATTTTTGTTGAGAGAAGGCATATTTTCTTTATTTTTATCATATATTTTTAAAAGCTCATTGTATTAGTTCCCATTTATGTATCTTGCTCATGAATTCAGTAAAGGTATTGGGAGGGTGTAAGGAATTATAACATTTTGTATTTATGTCATTGGCTAAATATTTTAAAATATATATGTTCTGTGGTAATACCATCAGAGGAAGTAGAAGCATACACCTTCAAACAACTTGTCCTTCGTTTTTGAAGATCTCCATTAGATTCACCATTTAGGGAAACAGAGAAGGAGTGAGTGGTTAAAGTTGAGCAGTAACACATTAATGGACATACAGGTGACTAATACACCTTCTAAGTGAAACATTTTCTAGTCCCCATGGGGATATTATGAAAAATAAAGTCCTTGTGGAAAGTGATCTTCATCCTAGGCATAACTCCTATGTTGTTTTCCAGGGTCCCAGTGTATGCAGGTTATTTTATATGTATTATGCCAGGCTCACAATGACAACTGGGAAAGAGGGATAGAGGGAAAATTCACTGTCTTGCCTTCTTTGCCTCCAAAGCTCCTCTTGTTCTGGAAAATATGTCTTCCTCTTCTTTGCTTCTTCTTCTTCCTGGCAACTGGATGTTAATTACAAAGAATAGGCTAGTTGAGCTCTTTGCATTTATGTCAGATTCCCAAGCAGTGTTTGCTTTTCAGGAGTAAGCTGCCATTAAGATCTTGGAGGATGAGGAAGCAAAATAGATCCACTTATATATTGGAGCATTCCATGCATTAAGCATTATCATGAATGAGATATTGAAGAGCAGTAGGCTGATGTTAGTAGGCTGATTGATGTCGTTGGATAAAATGAAAGGTAACAGTCAACAATGAAGTACACTAGCAGTATATGTACACACTCGATAGTGCAAATAGTTCAACATTCTTTGCTGATGCTGAAGCTGAGGATTTGGTTATGTACACGAGAATAAGTTAAAGAAGCATTTCCAAATGTGTGATATCTATTTTATGAATATCAAATGCAGCATATAATCAGTAAAGTAGAACTCTTTGAAAGCTTTATGTATCTCTCTCAGATTCAGTAATGAATCTAGTATAATGATTTCTAGCACTGTAGATGCATGCTTCAAAATGTATAAAATACTGTTAGTTTGTGAACTAATTGACATTCATGCATGCAAGTGAATGAAAATTTTAAAAGCATTTAAAAAGTACTTTATTTTTACAATATTTTCAAAATCAGAATGCTTTGTTCCTCCCTTGTTACTAAACATTCTGTATTTTATAGTTACTTTTGGAATATTAATGCACATCAGATGTGGTAGGGGAAGGATAGTAACATGCTGTACTATAGAAAATAATGATAAATATGTAATGTGCCACTAAAATGTTAATTAAGCTGTAGAACATTGGTTACTGATTTTTTAACCTGCAAGCTTTCCTATGGCTATTTTCAAGTTCAGTTGTAACTAGGTTCAAATAGATTATTTAAAAGATTATATAAAAATTAAAATGAAGGCTTCATCTAGCTTAGCATCAACAATATACTAATTCTTTCATCTTAAATGGCAGATAACCCATTTTAATGCATCTTTATAATACTGGTGTTCATATGGCATGATTCAGTGATTTAAATTGTGACATTTTAAACATTAATAGTCTAAAACTATAATGATTTTACTAATCTTATTAAAAATGGGAGTTTACCTTGTGAATATTGTACCTCAATTTTATTGTAATAATTTTGCTGGTTACCAGGTGGGGTGGCAGTTGAAAAATTTGGTGAATGCACTACGAGAGGATCCGAGTGGTGTTATCTTAACTTTGAAAAAGCGACCTCAGAGCATGCTTACCTCAGCACCAGCTTTACTGAAAAATATGAGATGGAAGCCCCTTGCTCTGCAGGTAATGATGCTTAATCATAAATCATACACCATCATTTTAGCTCTAGATTATCTGAGTGCTGCTTTCTTGTGCTTCATTTCAGCAGCATATGTGGATTTAGTCTTGTATGCTTTGAAAATGCTTTGTGAAACAATCTTTGCACATTTATCCTCCTAGAGCTCAATTAACAGTAAATCGGAACTGTGTACAGTTGAGGCAGTCCTATATTCCTCAATTCCATATGTAGCTTCTTTTTCAGACAACTTTCAAACATCTTTTCTCATGTGCAAAACATTTAGAAGTTACTGTACATCATTAAAAGGAATAGTTTAGTATGTGATGTTGAATCATTAAAGAAATGAATAGGCTATAATTTGACCTCATGAAGACTTGCATTCTCACACTGTATGATCCTTCCCTCTTCATTGAGAATGAGCATGAGAGACATCTGCAGGTTAGAAGAAAGTGGTAGAATTTCAAGTATGATTAATTCATTCTTGAAGAGAAACTGGTGCTAGGGTTTGCATCCCAGAAGCTTGCATGGCTTCCTGTTCCCAAATAGTCTTCTGTTCCTGGTAGGCATAGATCAGGAAAGTATAAATATCTTGCAAGGGACTCTTAGTGTTCACATTATAAAAGCAGACACAGTAGAAAAGTATGCAGTTCCCCTATTTTGAGCTGGTTGTTAAAGCTGCGTGATGAATGTAAGCCTTTCCCTTGCAGACCTGGGAGAGGAACTTTCTGTTTAGACCAAGTTCCTTTTACTGTCCAAGCAAACAATATAAATAATGCTTCTCTGCATATAGATGCCAATTCTCTCACTGTCTTCTTTTGTGTTGTGCAAACACCATCAGCCCAAGATAGGCCCTCTTCATGGGTGGTATCTTTATAGTCTTTACTGCATCCCCTATTTGCCATATGTAAATATGCTCTGGTTTGTATTATTAGTAGTTTTTAAGGCTTACCTGCTGGTATACATGCATGTGAGGGGACAAACCAGTTCACCATTTAAAGTCAATTAGCAGAACTAACGTTTGTATCTATTGTGGGTTCCATGGATTTGTGAATCTTTGTATGGTACTGTAGAAGTGAAGGGGAGTGATAGAAGGAATCGTATAACTGTCGTTGGTAGTATATTAGTACTGTTGGTATTATTATTCACCGTGTATAAATCTTGATAAGCAGCTGTTTAGGCATGTGTTGAATGGATTGTCCAGAGAGGCATAACATAAAAATAAGTTTAAATGGGATGCTAAAGGAAACAAATACTAAGGTAAACCCATCTCTGTTCAGCTGAGCACTTTTGTGCACATACAAGACATACACAGGCGTTGTTTTGCTCACTGAAATTGTTCCTAAGAATTTTACAGAGCTGTTTTTTGAATGGTCCTACCTATCCTCAAATTCCCTGTTTGGTTTGTAAGAAGACTCCTTTTCTACAGATTATCTCACTTTAAAACATTTTTATGAGAAACTGTCTGTCTTCAAAAATGTAAATATAAGAGTTGTTACGAAACTAAAGGGATAAAAGTTAGTTTTTTTGTCTGAACGAAAGTGAACAAATTTCCCAAATGCTGTGATTTATATATCAGTTAAAATGTCAGCAGGTCTAAAGAAACCCCTTTTCTTTTCAAATGGCAATAAGGAACATTGTTTTCCATAATGAATACATATAATTTGATTTTGGACTAATTAAAGCTTTTCCATACCTAAAAAGCTAAGGTTAATATGGATATACTATAAAATTTCCTCTGATTTCCCACCAAACTTAAAATGCTTTTTTTAAAAAAAAAAAAAAAAAGGTGTAGAAATAAGCATACTCTTGTCATAAGGATAAACTAGAATTCGTTCTGCAATTGGGGTTGCAGAAGCTATTAAATTATTTTAATAGAATTAAAGCATTTTAATTAAATAATATCCTTTACCTGGCCATATGAGCAGCAGGATTTATTAATGATAAATTGACTGTTTTAATATAGGGTATTATTATAATATTGCCTATTTTTAATGGTTTAAATGTTTTCTAAAGTTTTAATATTGTTGTACGCCACTCAGAGACCATTGGTAATGATGCGGCTAAATTTTTTTGTAAATAAATAAATAAATATTTGTAGAAGTGAAATCTTGTATGCCAGGTGTAAATTAATTGGTTGGTAGTTCAATATTTCGTAGATCTATCAAATCTGATAGAGCCATTATAGTTGGAAAAATTATTTTTCTGGTTTGGTTTATGATATATAGCCTTGTTAAAATATTTGACTAAGATTTTTAGGTTGTGATCCTGCATCAGTAGAAATTTTTATGCTTTAAATGTATAATGGATTCTTTTAAGGAGAAAGGCAGGATAAACATATTTAAACTAAACTAAACTAAACTGAATTGAATTAAGTTAGTGTAGCAACCCAGTGTTGTCACATACCTCTTATATCGGACTCATACAGGCAGTTATTCAAGGCTTCTGAGGTATGGTATATTTGCTTAGAAGCTGGACGGGAAAATGAGAGGAAATATGTAAATAGCCACCCCGAGTAGACATGGTCTAGAGGGCGGGGTATAAATTAAATAAATAAATAAATAAATAAATAAATAAATAAATAAATAAATAAATAAATAAATAAATAAATAAATGGAAAGCACCATCCCGTGGGTTGTAGTTGTTGAGAGAGAATTGTTTGACAGAATGAACCACTTTCAAATGCACATGGTTTTATTCCAGAAATCGTAGCAAATTATCTTTATATTCCTGAGCCACGGCTGTGTTTGTAAACTGTATTTACACTTTCATGCCTCTGTATTTGCATGGATGAAACATTAAATCATTCATTCATTGGATATATGCCTGAAGTAAATAATGTGCTTGTCCTGCAGAACTGTAGAACATGCCCTATGCCGAGTTCATAGTCTGGAAGCAGAGCCAGCATATACCAAACATGCAAGATGTGGTTGTCCTAATGTATATTTGAATGTATTTTATATTTAAAACAACAGAACAAATACATTGGTCTAAATGATCTGTACAATATTCCTGCATTTTTAAATTAGTATGTATTGATCAATGGGATCTTAATCATAATGTAACCATGATACATTGTATTTGAATAATGAAGAATTATTATCAGTTGAACTCACATTCTTGCTGAAATCCTGTTGCATACTGTTTCCCCTAAAATAAGACCTAACCTGAAAATAAGCCCTAGTATGATTTTTCAGGATGCTCGTAATATAAGCCCTACCCCAAAAATAAGCCCCAGTTAAGTAAAACCATGCCCTCCATCATTGTGCAGCAACCAGAAGAAAATGGCAGGACTGTATTTGAATAAATGTAGATTGTTGTACATGAAAAATAACAAATAAGACATCCCCTGAAAATAAGCCCTAATGCGTTTTCTGAAGCAAAAATTGATGGAAGACCCTGTCTTATTTTTGGGGAAACACAGTAGCTATGCCAGCATAACTAGAAGTCATGAAAGAGGTAGCAAAATGTGTGCCAAGATGGAAGTCATATCTAATGAGCAGTTCTGTAGCTACATTGCACATCTAGTTGCACAGTGAACTGCAAAATCAGTTGAAAAAAGAATTACATAATGAAAATTGCCTATGTGTAACTCCCTGTGAATTTTCACAGTCATAACTTTGCTCTATGCTAAGTGCAATGGGATTTCAGGGAATAGGTCTGCTTTTCCATTAGTTAAATGTAGTGATGTCTTTATAGTCAATTTTAAAAAGCAGCTTGTAATGAGGGAGAGATTCAAGACCCATACAAGCTTTGCCAGTAAATTACTGAACACATTTCCAAAGTAAAGATGGTACAAAATCTTGAAATGACAGTGTTAAGAAGTTTAATTCATATAGGAAATTATTTGAGAGCTCAAATATATGAGAGCTCAAAATATTAATTTGCTATCATTAATGTTAGCTGGCAAAATATTTAATTCATTACATTAATCAGAATATTCACCCTTGTCGTTATTTATTACTTTTAAAAGATACCAACATAGAAATTTCATAATTGCTTCTTTGTACTCAAATGTCAGTAAATATTAACGTGACAATCCTATACTGACTCGTGGGGAAGTAAATCATATTGAACTCAGTGATATTTACTGAGTAGACTTGAATCAAATGGCAGTATTAAGTGATAAACATTTCCCTGGACTACACTACTTAAATATTTTTCACACCTTAAAATATCCCTGTACTGTATACAGAAAGTTAGCATTAAAAGGCTTCAGACTTCTTGACATGCTGTGTTCTAAGTACTGGGAAGTTACCCAATTTTATTTTACTGCTATGGAGTGGGGGCATTCCAATGCAAACTTTCTGACACTGCTACTTTTTAAAAAAGTAATTCCTTTTTATATTCAAAGATAAATTGTGTCAACCCCTCCTCTTCTTCTCTGCAGTCTTAACCATGGATGTCTGTTGCACATTTTAATTATTTGCTGATTGTTATATTTGCATTTTCCTATTACCAAGTCACACTTGAATAAGAGAAACAGTGTGAGTCATGGTGACAAATTTCCACTCATTAATGAAGTGCTGGTTGCATTCCAAGGTGTGGACTCAATTTCCTGTTCAGGCACACCCCCACAAATGCAAAGAGTACTTTGCTAATTAGCAGCAATTTTCTGCCAAGGCTTACATGATGAAGTAATACACACCCAGAAACAGCCAAAATGATGGGAAGATACAGAAATAAAATAATAATAAAAACAAACTCAGAAGCAGAAATGCCTGGAACCTGGCTTCAGATTTTGATAGAGGTCTTGGAGAATGCCTTTGATTTCCTCAACATAGATATACACATTTGTGATACTGAGAGGCTGTCAAATGACATGAGGGGCTGGAAAAATGCCTTTGGGGACTATTTGTGGACTATGGGTCATATTTTGCCCACCTTTCCTTTACAGTTTTAGCTCTTAGGATCCCCAAAATGTTTGCCTTTCCTTTACAGTTTTAGCTCTTAGGAGTCCCAAAATGTTTGCCTTTGTCATTCATCAGCTCATCTGAAAATCAAAACT